ATTCTTTGGTTGTCGAGTCCGTAGCCTAGTATCTATACCAAGCTACCCCGGCTCGAAAATAACAAGAATCCGAAACACAAAATGGCACATAAATAATTTATAATATAGCTCTACAGATATTCGAAATTTGGATATACTTCTTCAGTCATGGGAAAGCTGTTAAAACATATTATGACGTGTATATCCATTGCTATGAAACGGCTCGGTAAACACATTCCCGCAAGAGAGGTGCACGCGACAATAGGACAACCATTGCTAGTTACCGGACCAGTAAACACGTCTCCTTAACAGCAGAAGGCATTGCTTTCCTTGGTGTCCGTGCTGAGGGGTTATAAGTGGAGAAAGAAGGTCTCTTGAATAGCGAACAATAGTCAAGTGAAGAGTCGACTCTCGGGACGCCAGCTTTCCGGGAGTAGAGGAATTGAACTGAGTCGAGTCTTCGGAATTGGCAGCTGCACAATAATGGCGAGAGAGGAATTAGGCGGTGACAAGAAGAATTCACGTGTGATTTGAAGTCTGATAAACCCGTTGACAGGATACGACTATAGAAGACTGAGAATCCTAATGCTTGTGTAACGGTGAACTGTAAAGTGTGTAGAATAGCGATAGCGCTGTATTGCCTGTAGTCCCGAGTTCTGAATGCACAAGGTGCAATAAATCCAATCATCCATTCCAAAACCCGTCTATACTCACCCCTACACGTGACAATATACCTTGGTATTTTCTTTTTGACACTTGAAGAACAGCCGAGAATTTCCTCGGGGGATAGTGCTCTCCGGGAAAAGGCTAGAAATTCCTGAAACGATAAAGTTGCAAGCTTCTGGCCAGTTTTATTCAAGCATGAATCTGTAAGGATTTGTGTTTAAAATGTAAAGTTGCCCTTGTGCTTGTGTCACACCATGAAGAATTAGAAGGAATTAGAAGCAAAACTCCACGTATTCCAAACTTCGCGGCTAGATTCATTCTCCGGCTGCTTTACCCTCAGCGAAACAGCTTACTGTGCTCACTAGGTATGTGGATGAATGAAATTCAGGGACAGTCTGGACATATTGACAAAAAGGAACATTCATGTCCCAACCGGGAACGGAATCCGTGATGACTCATTTCACTGTGTTGTTGCTGTTACTGCTGTGGAAGACGGGACCCGACGGAAATAACTGACTGCAACGCATATGCAGAAGTAAGAAAACGGAATACAAAAACAAGCACTGCAATATAAGACGTTTGAGCTAAGAGATCCTGAAAGGCAGAAGGAAACGTAATAGAACAAACACACCTGGAGAGTTTAAAAACGCAAATTAAGCCCAGTCTTGCATAGCTCTTTGCTGTCGTACCTCGGAATGTTTTTCCTAACCCGATCTTAAGTCATTTCGTTAGGACAAAGTCTGCATTGGATTACGTTCATGGAGATCATCGCTCAGACCCATTTTTCAGTATTTCATCCCTGCTACGCTACAATGCAAATCGTTAGAATTATAGCGTAAGAGTAGTTCATCCCCGTTATGCTTTCATTCTAACGATTTGCATTATAAAATTAATAACGTGATGTTTGAAAAGAAGTATTAAATATATAAATTATAAAAAATAAGTATATTATTATTTTAACGTGGACGTCAGAAGTTGCGACCTTACAAGCTTAATAAACAATGAAATGGTTGCTGGAGTCTTGAGCTTTGTGAATAATCTGTCCAAGACATGAAACTCGAGTTTCGAGTGATAAATCTAAATTTCTAAGCATAAGTATAATGAGCACTAATTTAATTGNGGTCCACCCAACCTCCTAACCAATGGGTATCGGCGGCTTCTTCTCCGTGGATAAAGCGGCCGAGGCGTGAAGCTGACCACTCTCCTCCAAGTAGTGCCGAAGTCAAGAAAATGTGGATCTATACATCCACCTCCCCATACGCCTTCGTGGCGTAGTGCTTAATTAGTTAAGCACAGGGACAACTTTACCGTTACCTTATATTATTATTATTATTATTATTATTATTATTCAGTCCTGCTCCTCTTAAAAGTTAGAAAACTCCATGCCATATGTTGACATCTTTAAGCTTCGTTTCTTTTAAACATTTTCAAGGTCTCATTTCTCGCTCAAATAGACATACTGTTAGTCTCTGTGTCCCCACTAAAAATGTTACAGACTATTCCACTTTTAATATGAGTAGGGCTTCAGCACTTAGCCCTTAGCCACGACTGAGAACAGCGACTGCCAATATTCAAATGTCTTTAGTAGACATGCTTTTAGTAGAAATAATATTTTCCTTTGTTGATCCTTGTTAGTTCACTGTTACTGTTCACTTTTTACTTAAATTATTTTTTTTTAGAATTAGTTTTAAATTTATAGTGCCCACTTTCTTAGGCCATTTGATGTTGCAAGCATTCGATTAAAGGAACTGAATTTAAAAAAATTATTGCCTTTTTAATTCTAAAATTTATCGCTTCTCTTATATCTCTACGCAGGGGAACTTTATCTGAAACCTCTGAATGCTATTTATAAATATTGTCGCGTGTTTCCTATGTGACGCAACAAGTAACTCACGCGGGTTTCGGATTTGACTTCTATGTTTATTGGACGCTCACTTTTGCACTTGCAAGTACAATTATTCACAATTTTAGTATCACAATTACTGCTTCTGCTATAGTCGAAGCCAAACTGAAGACTGACTACTCTTCTAAGGTGCAATGGAAACTGACCTCGTCTCAAAGTCAAAGTCAAAGTCACATTGCGACTGGCGGTCAGTCAATCACTAAGTCTTGTTGTCGAGCCCCATCTGGGGGTTCATGACCAGATATTTATTACTGTTTGACATTTACGGTCTTGTTTTAGTGGGGCGCCCTCTCTGACGAGAGGACGGGTCTGTCTTTTATATATGCTGCTGGCCCTTGCCAGCGCAGTCTTTCTCGGGTCCGAGTCTCCTGAGAATCGCGACCATATTTTACTCTTTCAGATTTGAGATTGTCGCAGTTGGACTCTTATAATTTCCAGGCGGACTCGATAGGGAATCCCATCACGAAGGGTTCATTCCGCTCGGTGCTATCGAAACGTTGCTTCAACTGTTCGTGTGTAACGGTGGAAGCTCCGCTGTTAGGAATTGTTGTCGTTGGTCGTTGCCTAGGAAATCAGCTCTGATCTCAACCACTCCTAGCCGCTGCCGTGGGAACTTTGGTCGTTGCCTAGGAAATCAACTCCAATCCCCTCAATCATTACGGCTTTCTGGTGGCAAGCCACAATATTTTCCGGGGAGGACTTGACTGGAAAACAACAACTTTTCTTAGTGTGGTCAGTTTTCTTTTTTACGTTATCAATCGTCCTAATTTGTATTAGAGACGACGTTCTGGAGACTGGGCTGGATTTCCGTGTTCAGCCAAAAAAAGCAGACGCGATAGAGCTAGCTCCTACCTCCAGACACTAGAAGCAACACAAGACATAATCAGGCCAGACAGAAACCACCTGCGGAAATTAAGGTAGAAAGACATTCAACCACATAAATGAGAGCTTGTACTATGGTCGCGCGTAATATTCCGGATAGAGCCCAACCTAAATGAACCAAATGCTATGGATATTACAGTATATATTGATCAGTTTCTAACGTTATCAATAGGTCATTAAATAGCTTTGACAGAAAAAAGTTATGGGTTCAATAAATCAAGATTAACTAGGCTGATTCTAAGGGTGAAGTGGGACAAACTAATTGCTGAAATTATTATTCCTGTTGGTGTAATTTATTCCTGTAACTTGCTTATCTTTATGTATATGATTTACACGTTCCTGTTTTCTTATTCTCAATTTTTCTAAACATATTTTTAAAGCATCTCCAACTTATAATATGCATATCGTCGCGTATTTGGAGTTGGCGTGACTAATAATAATGGGTTCGTGATTTGATGATTGGATTTATTGGCACTTCTTTACCGTTACGATAAATTATCACATCTCACAATTAATGATTGTTTAAGACTCGCTCCATTCCTTACTGGACTACGAGTGTCTGTTCTTCTACTGCGACCAATCACTGATCACAAATTAAACTCTCTTACGACTTCGTATGAAGACTCTCTCGCAACCGAAATCTCCTGGACTGATCTAACTTCCAGGCGGCCCGAATACATATCACCATCTCAAACAGTTCGCTCGATCTCTTATTATTTGTTTTGTCCGTTGCTACAAAACGTACAGTCTGCTACTAAGCAACGGAGGTCCTACTGTTGCTTGCATTACATCCAGAAAGTGTTTACTGAAACGGTGTGTGACACTAGACTATTCCGGCTTTGAGGCGTCGTGCCACAATATTCTTCTCCTGATGAAGTACTTCCATTTGCTTGGAACAGAGTGTTTCCTAGAAGCTGGTCTTTCCGTTGGTCAAGGAAATGTTCGCCGTATGTGCAGCCCGTATGTTCGTTATTGTATTTACAGCAGCGCCATGTTGAGCTCTGTCACGAGCCAGAAGACTAAGTCCATATCCTCACCCCTGTACATATAAGATCCCTTCTAATGTTATCTTACCATTCACGTCCAGGTCTTCCAAACAACAATTCAAAAATTATATTTGTTTTGTGCATGCTTTGTGATTATAGTAGGCCCTACTCCCCCTATATTTTAAAGAAAATTTAAAAAGGTCTGCTTTATTAATAATATCTTAATATCGCAGTAATCTTGAACCATGAACCGTAGTTACTTCACCCTTGCAACAGTAGATAAACTATTGAAAGACAATAAACAAAATATAATCCACGGTTTTAGTCGGCAAGCGAAATATACCGACAGAGCGACCGCCGCTTGTCGACGAAGTTAGTGCCAACTTTAGCGGATAGAGGTTGTGCCGTGATCAGTCCAACTAATCCCCACGGCCGTTAATTTCGGCACTGAATGAAAATAGGCATGACTATTACTAGTCCCTCTAGTCCACGCATAATTCAAACATCTGAGGAGAAATACAGATCAGTGTTATGGGAGTCTAGCGGTATCTGTGTTCTAAAGTGTGACCATTTCTTTTATTCAGAGCCCATCACAATCATCATTGGTGAGCCGGACATGTATATCTACAAGGGGAGCACAATTAACCTGACGTGTGTCGTGAAGCACAGCCCCGAGCCACCGCCAGCTATCTACTGGACCCACAACTCACAGGTAAGTGCTCGCGATATCGAGTGTCAGGAAGATTCTGGAACGATAGACAAGATGATATATTTTATAATCTGAAGAGGGACAGCTCTATCGTGAACGTGCCAGGCTACTGGCTGGGAGACTGGGTTTGATTCCTTGCAGTAGCAGTGGCAGTGGCAGTACGATCATGAAGTTTATGGTGCCCAGTCAGTCTCCTACGCAATGGACACCATAGGAACTTTCAGAAAGGAGAAAAGCGGCCGGCGCATGAAACGGACTGATCACCTCCCGCTATTCCAAGATTTAGAATATGTGGATCCGTATCTCGAACTTGAAGAGTATACAAAATTATGAAGCTTCTCAACGAATAATTGTTTCTTATTATTTCCTTCCTTTTAGGCACAAACATTCTCTTGAACAATTTGTTTTCAGACATTCTCAGTCTGTGTTCTGATAAAAAGGCAAAGCTGCCCCTGAAACAGGTCTTGAAGGCCCATAGGGTTTGTGAGACTTCGAGGCTCCCACATTTTCTCTAGACAATCGACTCACAGACTGCGGTAAGATATTGTCAGCCTTACGCGCCGGCCGCAATTTTACTCCCATGAAGATTCATGGTACTCATTTCTGTTAGAGGCTGAGTCGATTCCAGGGCCATAGCGCGACTGGAAGGATTAGGTAAATTAAAAACTACATCATTGCGACTCGAACCCGTGAACTTCCGGCTTGTAGCATAATACCTCAACCAGTTACGCTACCGAGCGTTCTGATAAACCAAGTTTTAAAAACAAGAGCCGAAATCATAATTTTGTATATTTTAATTTTAGGCGTTATGGATACAAGAATGCAAGAATAAAAAATTTGAAATTAACGGAAGAAATTATCCCCGAATTTAATCTCTCGTGCGAGTTAAATTAATCTATGTAATTATGGTACACTTCTCAGAGAACTTCGCCTACACACTTCTGCAGCCTGCAATAATTCGGGGTCGTTAAGAGCGGTATAGGAACTGTAGGTAGGAGTAACTAATTCTCGTAAGCCAAGAACATGGAGGAATGAATGAAAAGGGTTGAAAATGCTGCGAATCTCTCGCCAAAACTTCTAATTAGGGGAAAATATTTAAGCGCCGGCATAATATCCCCTTTTACTGAGAACAAATGTCATTGTAACGAGTTTCATTCAAAGTTTATATTACATTATGTAAGGTAAAAATAAGATACAGTTGTCCTGTGCTTAACTAATTAAACACTATGCCATGAAGACGTATGGGGGAGTGGATTTATAGACCCACGTTATCTTGACCTCAGCACTAGTTGGAACTGAGTGGTCAGCTTCACGCCCCGGCCGCTTAACCTCCGGTACCCATTGGATAGAAGGCTGGGCCGGCCCCAGAGCCGGTCTGGACTGTATAGAGAAGTGAAAATTCTTGCCATTACCGGGACTCGAACTCCGAACCCTTGGACTCTACAGTCCTTTGTTGTACCTTTGCCGCTTTTTGGTTTCTTAATCTTTTTACACGGTAGGAATGTTTTGTAACGGTGCGTAATATTCTTCTTCTTCTTCTACCCAATCCATCATGGATTAGGCTCTCTGGTCAGTGACCATTAAGAATATATTAATTCTGAAATTCGAATCTTATAGACAGTTGGTAGAACTCCTTGGACAGGGAATCAGTACGTTGCAGGGCCTCTACCTGCATACAAACACAGAATAAACGCACACAGATATCCATGCCTCAAGTGGGACTCGAACTCACGATCCCAGTGTTTGGCTGGCGAAAACAGTTCATGCCTTAGACCGTGAGGCCACTGTGATTGGCACATACGCTCTTAATTATATACTATATCTAATATTATATAATATATATTACTGGCAATAGGTAAGGTGAATTTTCCATTAAATTCCAAAAATTTAAACCTCTGGTTAATCGCTGGGCCTAACACGGCCCATAACTACGTCATAAGGTCTTCATACAAGGTTCACATAAGGTTTTTGACTTCTTTGTTTCAGATTGAAAAAGTTATAAAGGTCTTGAGGATTCAGTCAGCATGCCAGCATATATTTATGCTTTGTTCAACATTGTCGCTGAATTGCATACAGGAAGCGCAGTATGAATGATGAAAAGTATGCTAGTTTTTTTACATATGTAAGACTAATTATAAAAAATAACTCTAAAATATTGACGGTTTAAAAATATGGACAATCATATTTGTAATATATGATGAACTCTGTGGCCTGTAGTACGCAAGCGAACTATACCGACCGAGCGACCGCCGCTTGTCGGCGAAGTTAGTGCCAACTTCTGCGGATCGAGGGTGTCACGTGGTCAGCGCAACAGATCCCCATGGCCGTTTGTCTCGGTTTTCTATTTCTATTTCCTTGAAAAAGTTCCTCAGTTATCCTCACGCGGCTGTGTGGACCCCGTTCCAGACCCACTACTTCTCAGAAACTCTGGTAGCGCCGGAAATAGAACGCGGGACCCCTGGATCTGTAGACAGGAACTCTGACTAGTAAACCACACAGGCGGTCGTAATGTATGATGTACTTAAGAATAAGACGTATTAAAAATCTCTTAAAACATGCAAAATTTAAAAATATGTAAACCATATTTTTATGCATGGGGTACATATGAATAAGACGGTCCTCAACAAGAAACGTTGTGAGCATCTGAAATGTTCAAAGGTACAAGTACAACCACAGACTACCTTGTGCTGAAGTTCACTTTGTACCATAAATATACAGAGTGTTTCACGACTTTAGGGCATAACTGCAGGAGGTGATTTCCTAGGTCTTTGTGATCAAAAAAGTTCATATAAACATGTGTCCGATTTTCACAGTTACGGAGTCATGACCATTTTAAACCCAGAATAGAAGGTAACGATTACTGACAATAAACGGAACAAAATAATAAACCAGCATAATACATGATACATTCAAAGTATGAATGTAAAGTTAACTTCGTGAAATTATCTTTATTTTGAATTTTTTGGTGCTTAAAGCTGATTTTCGAAAATGCCACCCCCGGCCGCAACACAGGCTGCCGCTCGGTTGAGAACCGCGCGGGTATATACCAACCCACCACGCCTTAGGTACCTCTTAAGTGTCGAGATAACGAGAACGCTCTGTCTGTAGCTGGCTAAAAATACCGACCCGCCAGATGACAGACACGGTTCACACGAGGGCGTGTACGGGAATGAGAAAACGGTCATAAATCCTTAACCGTCCGAAATCGGACACATGTTTATATGAACTTTTTTGATCACAAAGACCTAGGAAATCACCTCCTGCAGTTATGCCCTAAAGTCGTGAAACACCCTGTATATATATGTGTGTGTGTGTATACCCTTGAAGATGTTACTGTAGATGTCGATAGATGTCGGGTAAGCAGCCAAACTAAATATTGTTATAAATGACGGTATATAATAAATAACGATAAGGATTAGAACGGTACGCAACTCAGCCTTAATATAAATTGTTGACGCTTTCAGGAAATTAACTACGATTCTCCTCGGGGTGGCGTGAGCGTGATCACGGAGAAAGGAGATGTTACAACCAGCTACTTACTCATACAGAGAGCCAACACACCTGACTCGGGGAAATACACATGCAATCCTTCGAACGCGAATTTGAAGACGGTGGTGGTTCACGTACTCAACGGTAAGTTATGTAACCTGCTTTATTTTCTAAGGAAACTCGGGATTATGGTACCAATTTGTCTTAGCCCTCCTTCTCTATGTGTGTCATCCCCAAGCACCTCTCAACAAAATTGCAGAGTGTCATGAAACTTCGTCCTGTCGCCAATCCGAATGAAAGCTATGCTCATCCTCTTACCTCGTAACATCCTACCATTGTGAATATCAGAAGAACATCTGTGCTAACTTCTGAAGTGGAGCCGTCTTTATCACCACTTGTCGCAGGGTGTTAACATTTTGTACGAATATAGATAGACCTATTGGGATCTGCAAAACTGAAGCTGAAGTTAATGCGTGAAGATTTACCTCCACTTCCGCACACATCTTCACGGCATGATACAGAAAGCACAGCGAAAGTTCTCCAATACCGTAATAGATTTTCAGGATATATTTAACATTTAATAAAGTAACGTAAAATAAGGAGATAGCAGTCACCCAAAATCTGTACTTCGCTTCTCTTTTGATGCCTGTGACTAATGGATCATTAAAACTAAGTACCTCTCCAGATTTTGTATGAAAAGCTCTTGTATGTTAATAATTATTAACATACAAGAGCTTTTCATACAAAATCTGGGAAGATTATAATCTTCCCAGAATTTATAACAGGGACGTCATTCACTTAAATAACTCATTAACCTGGAACTTCTGACAATTTCACTACATACCCGTAGACGGAAGTAGTTAAAGTTAGCCTCCTCGTAACAAGTTCATGTATATATGCGCCTGGTATCGAATGAGAACCCTGCCAATTAGATCGAGACTAACAGAGACCGAGGAGTGCGTGGGACATGTGGGTTAATCATCCGCAAACAAAGACAAACTCGAATTTTTTACTTCTGTTGGCTCTTCACTTCCTCCATATAAATGTTATTTTCTGAAATAACGGAAGCCCCCATTCCCGACTTACCTTCAAGCAATTTCAAAGGAGCCCTTAGTAATACTAAAGCATCCATAATATGGGATAAAGATTTAACTGCAACATAAAACTGTAAATTGCTAACTTGGTAGCTTGTTTTCTTCCTTATAGCAGTCTGTGTAAATGTGTTTAGTGCAGCAGCGAACAACACTTATGAGTTTGAAGACCCATGTTTATAGCTGAAATCGGTGACAAGAAACCCATGGTATTTTATGGAATGACACTACTTGTGTAAGTCTCGAGATTTTCACAGTAGTGACTTCAAATTGTAGCCTTCTGGATTATGACACCGTTTAGTCCTGTAGATGGATACTAACGTGTCGGACGAACATCTTCAGGATCGACGTGACTATGATGAGAATGCGATTAGGTTATAAAACTTCCTTACAACCTATCAAACTCACTTCTATCCTGAAGATGGAGGCAACATGTCTCCCCGATACGTTAACATCCAGCTACAAGGCTACACATTTCAATGATCCAGAAGATTACAATCATAAGAATGATGCTTGTTAAGTCTGCTTGTATATTGATTGTCACGTTCATTCTTGTTAGTATACTGAAATTAAATAGATGTTATAGTCATACCATGGAGACTGGATATGCTTGGTTATCAACAGGGCCCGGATTTTGATTACCTGAAAATATTTAAAAAATAACCTAAAATATGACCCAAAAATGTAATATGCACGGCCCGGATTTTGATGACCTGAAAATATTCAAAAAATTACCTATAGAATGACCGAAAAAAATCCAAAAAAATGACCTAAAGGAGTAAAGAAAGAACACTTCGCTTCCATGTTATTCACATTTCAGAAAACATATGAAGAAAAATTCCCTAAAATGGCCAAAAATGACAATAAATACCCTTAAAATCCAAAAATTTACCAAAAAATTACCCCAAAAATTAAAAAATGACCTTAAACTTAGAAATGTCAAAAATGACAAAAAAAATACCTATTAAATTTACATTTCTGTAACCAGCAGCTCATATCCGAGATTTATATATTTAAGAGCATTGCATAGGATACAAGGAATAAAAGACGACATGTCATCAAAATCCAGGCCCTGGTTATCATACACCTTTCAGTAATACAATGAACGGAGAGTGAATAATCTCGAACTTTATGTACGTACATTCTTACCAGCGAACTGGGACGAAATGTACTTTGTGATTGGAGCAAAGAATGAAGATTAATTATGTAGGCCTATGCTTGACTATCTTTTATTTTCGTAGCAATGAATGGCGATTAAGTGTGTCTAAATTGAATAGCCCTACATAAGCTTATCAATGAATAACAGGCTACAGTCTTGCTTTCCACCCATGCGACTGCGTCAACAAGAAACAAGGAAATGTGAAGCCATATCCTCCACCACGAAGAGGCGGACTGTATAAAGTAACAGCACTTTTTCTGAGGGGACCAATCACATTATTTACAGGCGCGGGTTGAGAAAGGTGACCCAAGGGAATCCATTTCCCTGCACCATCCCATTTTCTATCTTGATTATCTGCCCACCATCCCAATAGAACGTTAGTTTGCCCCGTGTCTGAAAACAGTTTTAAGAGCAGATGTGGAAGGATAAAGATTCATGCTCTGGTTTAAAAAATTACATTTCCTAGGTCAATCGCCTCGCTGTAGAAAGGCACGAGGCGTCTAGGTTTCAAAACGGCTACGTAGCGGAGAGAACGGAACAAAGCGTACTCCTGTTTGGAGTTCGTAGAATGGAACTTGATCTTTCATATTAAGGGCTAGTCATGAATACGCTGAGGATGTCTGAGAACAAAGCACCTAGAAGAATATCTAAACCTATGATTTAGGGGACAAAAGAGGCTAGAAAAAATGCGTAATACGGAGCTTGTTAACTTGTGCTTTACGCCAAATATTTTATTGATTAAATTAAAAAACAAATGAAACAAGTATCAGGTATAGGAGAAATGATAAATATACAGAGAATTTAGTCTTCAAATCTAAAAGGAAGACACCGCATGGGCGACCTAGGCGTCCACTGGTGGATAAACTTAAGATGGACCTTAGTGAAACAGGGTATGAGAATATGATGTCTTGTCTTCAGAATAGGGAGCAGTGACTGGTTCTTATGAACATGTTAATGAACATTCGGGTACCAAAAAGAGAGTATTTCTCGATTAGCTGAACGACTATCAGTCTCTCAAGAAAGATGCTGCTCCCTGGAATTGTGCTGTGTTTTCAAATTACAACCACTCCAGCACTTGCATGTGGGGCAGGAACAAATGCATCACAGAACACACTGACACAAGAAGGATGAGGCTGATGATAGGAATTTTTACGTACGTGGCAGGATTGTATAAATTCTAATATAATTGGTAGAAACGAGATAAGAAGAGAATCATAAACACTCTACTTAAATTAACAAAATTAGAGATAAAAATGTACTGAACATGTACAGCCAGAAGATGACTACAGGATACAAACACTGGATAAAGTTAGAGACGACAAGAAAGCTGTAATGTTTAAGGCAAAGACGGATGGATAACTGAAGCCCGAACAGACAGTAATCTCTACTGCATGAAGTGGACATGAAAATCGAACCCACCATCTATACCGCATTATATGCACACGGGTATAAATTATATTGTTATCAAAACTAACCAACGATAATGATACTACAACATTCACAGGCATAAAAAAAATCCTTTTTTCATATCGGTCATATCGTCAATAACATACAAATCGTAATGTAGTCTATAATTTACTCCTGGTATCCATTTTAACAACTTCGATTCCCGATGAGGTCACGGAATTTTTCAATTTATCTACTCCTTCCAGTCGCACTATGGCCCTGAGGTCAACCCGGCCTCTAACAGAAATGAATACCAGGGATTCTCCTGTGGGTAAAGGGTGGCCGCCACGTAAGGCTGACAACATAAAGGCCATCTATGAGCCAATTGCCTAGAAAATATGAGGACCTTGACTTCTCAAAACCCTAAGGGCCTCCACGGCCAGTTACAGGGATAGCTTTACTTTTATCCATTTTAACGACGGACTGTATCTAGATATTCAATTTAAATAACTTCTGGTTTCTAGTAATGTTGGGGTTATATTTGACGGAGTTTAACACAGTCCCCAAAAAATATCTCTATGAGGCACAGTCCTTGAAAAATGGAATTCGAAGGTTCATCCTGTTGTCCACAAGATCCTACCAAGTCCGGCGTCCTGTATAATAATAATTCGGATGTATTTTACAGTGAGCGAAGTTAACGTCCGTCTAATCGCTTTGCGACCACCCCTTACGTTCCACAACTTCTTATACGTTAAATTTGTATATATCCTTTCTTCTTATCCATATATACCGTGTCGAAACATATCTCCGCCACCCTGTTTCTCCAAAATCGTACATAAAAGTTATAACAAAATGTGTTATTCTTGGAAAGACACCCCCGGGCAGTGAATGTTGCTTTTAAGGCGCGTCCACATTACTCGTGCTCGTGCTCGCCAGGCTTGTGCTCGTCGGGAGACTCGTCTGGCTTTTACTTGTGCTCGTAAATCTTCGTCCACACTGCTTCAGTTGCTCGCCAGGCTTCGGTGCGTGAGGATCCGTATATTTACTCGTAGTGTGTATAGGCTGTAGTCGTATTTTAATTTATTGGCTACAGTTTTTAAATTAAAAATTAAAAATTTGCTTGTCTCGTGACTTGTCATATCGTGCACATTACTCGCGCGCATAGCGAGTCACACGAGCACGAGTAATGTGGACGCACCTTTATACATGTATAGTATAGAGTACCACCTTTTTCATCTGAAATAGTTCGTCGCACAGACAAATCGTAAATACATGAAATGTTCGTTTTCATGAGATACCTTTGGAAGATTAAAGAGACACAAGATGTTCAAAAACGTAATGACACATTTTCAAATATTTCTCGCACTATAAATGTCTTAAATTCAAACAGCGGTACACCAATTAGCATTCTTACTTTTATTAATTTATTGTTGTACTATTAAAAGAGAATTCACAACGTGTCAGCTTAACATGAAATACAATAATTTTAAATCTTGCCGTTTAGAGAC